TCCAACCTGGCCTTGAACAGCTCCAGGGATGGATGGGGCATCCACAGCCTCTCTGGGCAGCTGTTCCAGCACCTCACCACTCTCTTTGTACAGAACTTCCACCTGACATCCAACCTAAATCTTCCCTCTTCCAACTTAAAACCATTTCCCCTTGTCCTGCTACCATCCACCCTTTCAAAGTCATCATATTATATGCAGCAGAAACAGTGAAGTTTTGTTCACAGCTTTTATTGCCGTCAAACACAACCTGATACAACATTGCCCATCTGAAGGTACTTAGCAGTATGCAAGATCCTAACTTGCTTGTTTCCTACCTCATCTCCATCAGTTCCTCCTTACAGTCTGCTGCAGGTCCTGAACTTCACCCAGCTGGCTGTACCAGGAATATCAAGCACACGAGCAGACTGCAAAAAAAATAACAAGCAAACCGCAAGGAACATAACAGTGTCCTGTCCTTCAAAGCCAAGCTTCTTTGCCAGGACCCCAGTGTTTTTATGCTGCTCTCAGGGAGGTGAAAAACTCTGAGATTTTCATCAAGTTAAATTTCAATCCAGGAAGACTGAAATAAATCCGAGTGCTGTGTCTGTTAAATAACCGCTCGATGTCCTACCACTTGCTATGGGGAGGAGCTTTGGCTCATTGTCTGTCACAGCCAAAATGAAGGACCTTTTATCATCTGGTAGAGGCAAGAAGATTAGCTAGGGTTGGCACATGACTAATGCAGATTTATTAGCAATTCTGAGAGAGCGACAACGTGGAAAAAGTCAGAACCAGGTCAGACAGATGAAGTACCAAAATGAGTACAACTTTCTGCTGCAAAGATGCTCCAGTCCCTCTTCCAGTGGTGTCAATATCCCTTGTCATTATCCCATTTATCAACCCAATGAAATCCATTCCTTAAGGCACAACCACCTTAATTTACTTGACCTGTATCAAATTCTGTACCGTGCATGGATGTTGCAAGTGCTTCTGCAGAATAGAATCATGGAACCGTAAGGTTGGAAAAGACCTCTAAGATCATCTAGTCCAGCTGTCCATCTATCACTAATATTGCTCAATTAGAAGCAGTTAATATTATGGCTATAATCATAGAATCCTTCAAGTTGGAAGGGACATTTAAAGGCCGTCTAGTCCAACTGCCCTGCAATGAACAGGACACCACAGCTAGGACGTGTTGCCAGGGCCTGATCCAGCTTTGCCTTGAAAGTCTCCATTGATGGGGCATCAACCACATCTCTGGGCATCCTTTTTCAGTGCCTCACCACCCTCACTGTAAAGGATTTTTTCCTTATATCTAACCTAAATCTGTCTTCTTTGAACTTGAAACCATTTCCCCTCATCCTATCACCACAGGCCCTGCTGAGGAGTCTGTCCCCTTCTTTCCTGCAGCTCCCCTTTAGATGCTGAAAGGCTGCTATCAGGTGCCCTCAGAGCCTTCTCTTCTCCAGGCTGCACGGCCCCAGCTCTCTCAGCCTGTCCTTGTAAGGGATGTGTTCCATCCCTTGGGGTCATTACTTGGATTCATTTGGGTGGAAGACTGTTTGCAATCCTATTGTGAGTTCCCTTAGAAATTTCTGGCATCATCACCTAAGGCATCTTTCTCTGTATTACTAAATCCACTGGGTAAGGTGAAGAGCAATTCCAAACAAAGGCATCTTGTCACAAGGTCATCTCATCAATCCCTTAGTTTCTCTGTGCACATCAGGGGGAAATCTTTCTCTAGAAGGGCAGTGAGGCCCTGATACTGCTGCCCAGAGAGCTGTGGGTGCCCCATCCCTGGAGGTGTTCAAGACCAGGCTGGATGGGGCCTTCCACAGCCTGGTTCAGTGAGTGCCAACCCTGCCCATGGCAGGGGGTTGGAACTAGATGATCACTGAGGTCCCTTCCAACCCAGACTATTCTATAACTCGTGTGATTGAGTGAGCTGTGTGGCAAATGATCAGATATCCATGCTCATCAGTGCATCGTTATCAAATCAAGACACAAAGATGCCAGATGCCCGTGAAAGATGAAAGATTCAACGCTCTGGCAAACCTTACTATGAGAAGGGGGCCAAGATAAGTGAGTATAGCGTGGATTTCAGAAGCCTGAAAGAAAAGGAAAACTGAAAAAATAATAGCAGCAACTCAGAGAGAAGATAAACCACCTCTGCTCGTTTACTGGAAAGAGAAATCTTGACCTTGATACAAACAAATTGTGCTTAGTAAGGATGGAAATAAAACGGAAACATAACTCTTTGTACGTGATAGTAAAATCATCAGAACTCACTTCTGGAAAGCTACGTCCAGACACAGCTGAGTAGAACCTGCTTGGTGCATGGCCCCAAAGAGCATCGAGTGTATTATTAATATTATGAAGTTACAAAAAAGAAGAGAAGAAAGGCTAGGCTAGACTTCTTGCTAGGAAAATTAAGAAAGGGGCAAAAAAATAATCACAAAAAGCAGAAATGGAACGGTGCTGTAGAAGATATCATCTTGGCCCACTCACCCAAAGTCTTCTAAAGCATACGTTTAAAAATAATATCAGAGAGGAAAAATGTAAGAGGAAGAAGGTTAAGGGACGAGGAGGGGAGATTAAAGTCTCACATTTTATCCTGTGTTGGTGACATGGCTGCAGTTTCTGTTCTGGATCACTCAGGTCACCTTGCAGTATGGCCAGGACCCACAGCTGGTGTGGAAAGTCACCTCCTCATCTCTATTCACTGTGTTGGCACCAAGCTCTAGATGCCCAAAGGACTGATCAGCAAAGCGTTCATCCCCTCAGAACTTTGCCTGTTAGCTCTAACTCCCAGCAAGACATGACTGTTCCTGGATTTTCAAGTTATTGCTCCTCTGGTTCACTAAGCACACAGCTTGCACAGCTCCCTGTTTGTCCCCTGAACCCTTAAGGCTGCAACATCTGTATTTTTTATGTACTTAATTTTGGTTGACTTTTAAAAGTAGTTTTGAGCAACAGGTAAACTTGGAGGTTTTCAAAAGGGCTGCAAGACCAAGAACCTCTGTCTGCTGTTAATGGCCCAGAGAAGCCTGGGTCACACCAGCAGCAAAATACCTCGCAGCACAGATTTGGGAAGAGGCTTTTGCCTGGGCTTACATCCCTGCTGTGCCTCCACATCTCTGCGAATACAGGGTTCTTTATGCTTCCTTCACCATCTCATGAAAGCTGCTCCCCAGATCGAGCTCTCAGCTGGGCAGAGCCAAGGGCAAGCAAAGGATAGCAAAAGGGCAAGCAAAAGATAGGGAGAGGTGAGCAGAAGAGCAGAAAGGAAAAGCTCAGACACCAACCTGTTAGCATGGGTTGCTTAGCCCAGCGAGATATGAGGAGACACTGAGGAGCTGCTCGTCCTCCTGCCACAACAACCACGTCCCTAAAGGCTGCCCTAAGCTTTATTTCAGAGCCAGATCTGCAGCTGTGCTGGGAGCAGAGATGATGACTGACCCAGCACTGAGATGGGTGCACCGACTAAAGGAGTGCATTGCTGCCAGGAGAGAAAAATAGAGCCTTTAGCAAAATCTGGTCCTCAGCTTCAAAGTGTTTCTACTCTTGGGGGTGATATGACTGTGCTGCTTACAGGAAGCGTGATCTCGTTTGCCATGTTCTTAGATTGCTGGGAATCAGAGCCAACCGACCTCACCTTAAAAGCCAGCAGCTGCAAAACAACTCTCTAAGAACGATGCCATCAGAAGGAAATAAGCTTTGCTGATGGATTGATTTAGAAACAATCCCCACAAACAAGTGCATGCCTTACTGAGAGATGTGTGGTTTGTAGTTAATGACAGCTGGAGCCAAAGCCTCATGACCTAAACCAACCAACCCTCATGACCTAAACCTCCAACCCTGGCCTTTTTGTGATTCTGTGACCGATGCGTGAGGTCCATAATTAACTTCCTTAATTCTTTAGTTAATTGCTTTTGAATTTCCTTAATTAGCTGCTTCGCCACTCCTCCTGCTAGAACAAATCTTAGGGTAGAGTGGTTGGCACAGGAGAGTTCACCCATTCAGCTGCCACGAACCCAATGCCAACACAATTACGAGTAGAGAAAGAGCATCAGGCTCGTTTTCTCTCCACAAAACAAACGAGGACAATCCCACAGGTTAGGCCTATTGAGAGGGAGAGAAATAGGTCACCAGCAAGAGCTGGGTGTCAGATTGTGATTTCCTGGTCAGCGGTTACTGGAAGAGCAGTGCTGGAGTTGAGCAAGTGCATACAGAGAACGCCTCTGTGGGATGCTCTGCACCACATGAAGGGCTTGGTGGTCATAATGAAACAGCTGCTGCCACAAATGAGTACAAGTGCTTGTAATTGAATGAGATGGTTTCTCCATCATGCTGCCCATGGATTGTTTAACTGGCTTAAGTAGGTTCCCAGGGAGTGTATGCTGCTTGAAAGTCAAGCGTGAAAGGATATGGTTGGACCTAATCATGACACGAGCTGCTCAGGGGAAGAAAAAAAATGCTTAACAGCAAAGAGCCCTGGAGGTGTTTCTTGCTTATCCTCTTAATATGGAGGGTTCCCCACCCACAGCTTCAAGGCCAGGTTGGATAACGAGCAGTGAGATGAATCCATCTCTGCACATTGCCCTGAATTTCTGCTCAGCCACCATCTAGCTGGTGGAGCTGAAGGGAATTCTTAAGGATGATATCTTGTTTGGAAGACGATAGGACAGACTTTCTGAGCTCGTGTGAACCAGGCTAGACCCCAACCCAAATTTCGGCTGCCATTCTGCAAGGCAGTGTTACGTACCGTTCTTCCCACCATCCCATCAGTTCCATTTCCAGCTCCTCCAGCACTGCCTGCGTAACCACACTTCTCTGCTTTCAACCCTTCTCCTCATCCTTTCCTCTGATTAGAATGCAAGTTCTCATTAGCTTTGCTGAAATCTCGCAGTGCCACTGGAATACAAACCCATTCTACCCTGTTTCTGCTTTCGTTTTGAGCTACCACAAAACATTCTTTTAAATAAAACACAAGTTTTATTATGCTGATAAATTATTGAATAAATACAGATAAACATTCGCGAGTTTTTGGATATTTTGACTCATAAATACAGTCATAAATAGAAGATATAAATAGAAATACGAATATTTCCCTTCCTCCCCTCCACCAGTAGGTACCCATGCTGAGCTCTATAGATGAACTACAGCAAGAATCAGTATCTTGGGAGTTAATTTGCCCACATTCAGAAAAGTCCCACTTGATGACTGGGATTTCTCCTAAGAGGTGTTCATAGGAGACAGTTCTTCCTCCCCACGTTGCACCGGCTGCTGATTCCTCCTAGGACTGGTGCTGGATGACTGGAGCAGCACACGTGCAGCCCACAGTGATCAGCTTCTTCTCCAGGCGGTAGGTGGGCTGGCAGCCCCCCTGCTCTCTCCGGAGGACGAGGATCTCCTGTGTGATGGGGACAGAGTTGAGGCTGCGGTCCTCTTGCCCCAGTGAGTTCAAGCAGCCCAGAAGGCGGCACTCAGCATCAGCTATCACCTGGGGGAAGCGGTTGGGGTCCTCATCGAGCCTGGGGAGAGGGACACAAAAGGGTTGGATATGTTTGCTATGTTCTTGTGTCTTGGTTGGATCTTCTTTTTTTTGCCTCCAGAATCACAGAATGGCCAGGGTTGGAAGGGACCTCAAGGATCATGAAGCTCCAACCCCCTGCCACACGCAGGGCCACCAACCTCCACATTTCAGAGCAGCCCAGGCTGCCCAGGACCCCATCCCACCTGGCCTTGAACACCTCCAGGGATGGACGGGGCATCCACAGCCTCTCTGGGCAGCTGTTCCAACACCTCACCACTCTCATAGCAAACAACTTGCCCCTTACATCCAACCTAAAGCGCCACACCATTTACCCACTGTGACACAAAGCCAAAGAACTTCCAAATCCTTAACATTTCTTTAAATGATTTCCTACAATTGGAATCAATTCTGGGAAGCTAACGCTGCCATATTGTTTATCAGTAGGTGAATGGAATTGATGAATGGCTGGTTGAAATAAATAACTGACAGCAAATGGACCATTCGTGTTTGCTTGTTTTAATTCCAGCATTCAAAAATTTGTTTCAGTTAGGAAAATGTAAAACTACAATGCACCGACATTCTTCTTTCTCCAAAGGTACTATTGACTGACATGTTGGTTAGAAATCATTCAGCGACATCCCTTTGCACTGCAGTTTATTCACCCAACACCAAAATGAACGTGTGCGTCAAGAGGAGCTTTCAATATTCACAAGACTCCGGGCATATGCTGAGAATGAGGCATTTTTTCAGCCCAAAAGACAAGTGTGCATCACGGCCATTATGTTTCAAATAACACCTATAGAGTTACATAGAGTTACCTGTAATTCCAAGGAGCGAGAGACCGGTTCCTGATGTCATGGATCATCCTAAAGGCAGGATCAGAGCTGCCGATGCGAATGTCAACTTTCACCATCGTGGGGAAAGTGGGATCCTTTTGGTTCAGGCAGTCTTCACTAAGCTTCCCAGAGCCACCAACTCTCCTGGGTCGAGGATGAACGACCTTCCCGTGGGGCGAGCTCCTTACAGCGAGTGCTAAAACCAGCACCAAAAGCAGAGACCTGAACTGGGAGAGGGAAAGGTGTCATTGTCTCTGTTCAGCCACGAGAGAGCACAAGGAACCGTGGCTGGACCATCCATCGATGGAGCAAGGAACTAGCATCCTGCATTCCTTCGTTGCTGGGAATCAGCACTGGGCAGCAGATCTTCACGCTTGTGTTTGGGTGAGGTGCATCAGCAGGAAAAAGCAGAGTAAGATTTGAACAGTGCTCAGCATAACGGATGCTAAATTCTGATTTCAAATTCTGATTCACAGTTGGCACTGCACCAAGTAGGGCATCTCTCCTGCAAAGCATCCTCCTCCTTCAGTGTCAAACATCTCTACAAGGTGGGCTAAGAACTAAACCAACCTAAGCTGACCTACCTATGTAAGACATGTGCTTCTCCAGACCAGGAAATGTCAGCCACCTAGGAGACACCTGCTGGAAATCACCCTTCTCTTGGTGAAATCTGAGAGCTTTCTACCATTGTTCTGGATGAAGACAGATATGCAAAGCTTTTCGCAGTACCCAAAGTGCTGAAAATACTACCGAGGCTGGAATTTAAATGCACAGGTATTCACTTCACAGTGCCTCCTCCATTCCTCTTTTCAGCTGTCTGTTGTTTTGATGGTGAGTTGCCTAAAAAAAAAGCCTGCATCGCTCAATCCCCTATCAGCAATAGCAGTGCTGCTCTTACAGATGCATGACACTCCCTTGCCTCCCAAACCAGGCCGGTCACATTTTGGAGATGTGAACCATACCCACTTCCAAATGCTCAGGACAGAGTCCTTACATCATATATAAACACTTACCACTGCAGCACAGCTGGCAAAAGCCATTGCAGCCTCTTCTGCTTTAGGTGAGCGCACGCAGCGATGGAGCAGGCAGGTTTTCTCTCTCGCAGACCTCTTTCAGTCTGTGTCTCTCAAAGCCAGCCGTGGTCTCCTATTTATAGTGAAGTTCAACCACTATCAGCCTTCCCATTGCAGCATAAAATCACTAATCTGACCCAAGGTTAGGAGCTGATATTTCATTTCCTAGCCCACTTCCTTCCGTCTACCAAAGAAATGGGAGGGCAGATCTGTCATCAGAATCCCAAATCAACCAATACGGTGTGTTAAGGCAGATAAGTGATACGAGCAGAAAAAGAGAAAAGAAAAAAAAAACAAAACCAAACAAACGTTCACACAGCTTTTTCCCCCTCTTCCTTCCCTGCTTTCTAATATTAATGTTCTCTTACCACAAATGTATGTATGCATGTCATAGAATGGTTTGAGTTGGAAGGGACCCTTAAAAGCCATCTGTCCCACTCCCTGCACTGAACAGGGACACCCACAGCTCCATCAGTGCTCACAGCCCATCCAGCCTGACCTTGGCTGTCTGCAGGGATGGGGCACCACTGCCTCTCTGTGCAACCTGTGCCAGTGCCTCACCACCCCTATTGTAAAAAACTTTTTCTTTATATCCATTGTAAATCTCCCCTCTTCTAGTTTGAAGCCATTCCCCCTGTCCTATCACAACAGACCCTACTGAAGAGTCTGTCCCCTTCTTTCTTACAGCCCCCCTCTAGACACTCAGTGTTTCTTCTTCACTGATCCATTCTGATCCTTTTCTTCCCCCACCTTTGCTCTTACCCCAGTCATCCCGTACCTAAATCTTG